TGGCTTCAAGTGCCCCACACCCCAGCCGGGATTGGGGTGGGGGGGGGGGGGGGGGGGGGGAAGGGGATGGTCGACGTACGTCATGGTTGGCCAGGTACTCGATCACATAATTGCAGGTTACCTCGTCGTTCAGGTCATCAAGAGCCTTGTCTACCAGAGCAATGATTGGCTTCTGGTAGGCTCGGATGTTGATGGAAGAGATGTCCAGCTGTGTGGGCAGGGAGGGTACGCATGTCCACGGTCTTGTTAGAAGGGAAAGATGTCCCTGATAGCCGAGTGTATGCATACACACACACACACAGCCCGCATGCCTCAAGGAGGCAGGGCAGAGGCAATCCCACTTTCAAGGAATGGCGGGGAGACAGCAAACGCACCTTGTTGTCCAGGATCTTGTCAAACTTAAGCTGCTTCAGAAGCTTCTTCTCGCTGCTGCCACTGAAGCGGGGATCCTGACTGATGGAGGTCCCCTATAATGTGAAAGGAGGAGGTTGTGCGCACGGGCGCGAGGGTGCATGCGGGTGTTTGTTCGGGTGAGTGAGAGAGCCCAGGTGCGAGGGGGGGGGGGGGACAACGCAGGCGGGCCGCTAGTTTGGAGCTTTCAGACACGCAGCCCGGAGACAGGCCCCACGCGCGGTGGGGAGGCCCGGCAGTGGGGAGGGGGGTGAAGCCCGCGGCGGAATTGGGGCGCACCTTGAAAAACTGGGCGTTATGCATGCTGGGCACAAGAGGCAGAGCTCCCGACGGGCAGAGTATGCACCTTCAGATGTTCAGGGAGGGCGACAAGGAGAGCGAAACAAAGAGGCGGCGCCAATGGGCCTCAAGAGACTGGGGCAATGGTCCAGGGACGAGGAGAAGCGAGGCGAGGCAAGAGAGGGGGGGGGGGGCAGGAGGTAGAGAGTGGGGGTGCAGGTGTGTCCCAGGGCGAGAGAGGCAGGAGGTCAGTGCCTGTGGCGTGGTTGGCGGCACATCCTCATGAGATGGCCCCATCAACGTCGCGCTCTCTCTCTCTCTCTCTCTCTCTCTGGCCTGGGCTGGGCCTGGCGTGGCCTCCGTGCAAGGCGACGGAGGGGACTAGGGGCCTCGCTCGAATGGGGGAGCCTGCGACTCGGCCCTCTCCCTTGACTGGACGGGCGTGCTGTAAGTAGGCACCGAGGCATGGCGAGTGCCGAGCGTTGGGAGTTCGCGATGTCCGGGGATCTTTGAATCCGCGTCCCCCCCCCCCCCCCCCCCCCCCCACGGCCACCCTTCACAAGGCACACATATCCAGACACGTATATATCCCAGACACACACACACACACACACGCACACGCCTGGCCAAACTGCCGCCTGTCCCTCCTCGTCGGGGCTCTGTAGATCCTCCTCACGTCTTCTCCGCCCTCTCGCCTCCTGCGCCCCTCCTGCGCCAAATTCAACCGATGGACATCGACCCGGTTACCCAGCAGCATGCGGCTGGACTGACCGTCGGTGGGGCCTTCCTCCTTCTGCCGGACGGCCTGCCCGAGCAGTGTACCTTCGGCATTGACCTGGCCGCTTGGTCGGTGAAGACCAGCTTCCGTGGTGTGCGTATGGTCCCCCCAGGGGTGCATGTGGTCTATGCCGGGTGCGTCCTCCTCAAGTCTCCTGCGTCACACCCACCCTACCCCCGCCACTTTGTGTACTGATGCACGGTCTGTCCGCCCCAGTCTCGAGCAGTCCTCCGCCTCGCCCGGGCTGCGTTCGGCCATCTTCCTGGAGCTGAAGCCTGGCGATGTACGGGCTGGCACTTGCCAACAGTTTGTTTCCCCTCCCCCCCCCCGCGCGCACGTTGCTCGCCACTGTCCCTGCTAACCCCCACTCCCACCCTGTTCTGCCCTTTGCCCAGATCCGTATTCTTCATTGGGCCGATGGTGATGAGCTACTTCAGCAGATCGCCTCAACACACATCTCTGCCCCGGAGGCATCGCCCTGGATGGACAGTGCGTTCGCCTGGTAGATCCTGATGTGGATGTCTTGCCCTGCCCCGCCCTGCCTTGCTTTGCCTCGTCTCGCCTCGCCTCCTCCAAGGACGGCACTTGGCAGCACTCCTGACCGGCCTTCTCCTCCCCTCCCTGTTTGCTGCCCTCAGTCATCCACACACAGTCGGACGTACTTGCACCCTTCCCGGTGTCCAGCATGATGGAACGCTGGACGGGGCTCTTCCCGCAAAGTATCTTTTCCCAAATCCGCCCGGCCACCGGCAGCCCCCTTGATGCAGCACTGGCCCTTTGCGGCCTCTCCGAGGGCAGCACCATCCTGGCGGACGATGGCCATCCCTACGATCTTCCACCCGTGTCGGCCGACCCGCGGCGTGCAGCCATCCCGGCTTTCCCCCGCCTGGACATCCTGTCGGTCGTGTCGGCCAGCGAGCAGCCATTCCTCCGGACCCTGGCCCTGCAGGACCGCTCGCCCCAGGTTGAGGGCCACATTCACGAACTGTGTGGCGGTGCGTCATCTCGCTGCTTCTCCCGCTCGATGCATCTGCCCTTCCCTCTTCCCTGCCTCGTTCCCGACAGCCGCTGACACTCCATTCTGCCCGGGCGTAACGCCCGCCACAGGCAACCATGCCCTGCTCCTGTCACAGCAGGCGCTTGCCTTCATCTTGCTCCTGGTGGCTCCCAGCTCCCGGGCCCTGGCCCATTGGCGTGATGCCGTCGGGGCCTGGTCCGCCTGCGAGCGTCTCATCGCCTCCAGCCCGGGCAAGTATGCCGATTTCCTTTGTACGTCTTGCTGTCCATTTGGCCCCCATGCGGGGCCCTGCTCTTAGGGCCGGCTTCCCTCCTTGCCAGCTGACTCTGCCTCACTTAATGGCTCCTGCTTTCAGACCTGCTTTCTGGGCAGCTGGCCGAATTGCCGGCCGACCTTTTCGAGGACCCGATCTTGAATGAGGCCCCCTCTCCTGGCACATCGGGGGGGACCCAGCACAACTTCCTACACCGGGCCTTGTCACGGGCTCTCCGCTCGGTGGACAGCCACCTCCGCTGCTGGCTCCGTCTGCAAGTGATGGAGCTCCACCGGGGAACGGCCACAGGCGCCGGGGACTCACTTGTTCCGGTTCCCCGGGCAATGCTTTTCCTGGATCCGAATCTCGGGCAGGACACCGGCCCCGAGGGGGCCGAGCTCGAGGCTCCCACACGCCTACTCATGGCCTTCCGCCAGCACTACCTCCACAACGCCCAAACGTCGGCCCAACAGCCAGCGGTCCTTCTCGCGTGGCGACGCCTCCACGCCGCGCGCGTTCATTTGGCCAAGGTTGCCACTGAGCGCCTGGGCTTCGAAGCCCCCCCGGCGCCGCTTTTCCCGGCCGATGGTGGTGGGCTCACCCCGAGTGCCGATGCCAGCCCGGCCATTTGGCTGATCCCGGAGCCGATCAGCGACTGGCCCGATTCCGACTCTGACGCCGAGGAGGACAGCCCCCGCCATTGAAATAAACATTCCTCTCTTCAGCCTTCGCCCTCTCTCCTCGCTCTCTTCGCGGCCCGAGCCGGCGCGGGAAGTTTCCGATTGTATTCCGGCCAAGCCGCCAACCCAGCATGCGTCAGGGTGTCTGTGGCTCGGCCACCAGTTCCGAAGTTGACTTCAGCTGGCGGTGTAGCGCTCGAATGCGGCGAAGGAGTTCCCCGGCGTATCGCGCTTGCCGGAAGCGCTCCTCCTTCGACTGGGAGCTCTTCTCCGACAGCTGGCCGTGATGAAATGGACGACCGGGGGAAGAGGGCACAAAGCGAGGGGGAGGTCAGTGGCGGGCCACCGGGATCAGGGGTCCATGTGGCATGGGCGACAGCAGTCCGTGAGCCAAGCCACTCGACTGTCAGTGTCACACGGGGGGAGGGGGGAGAGGCGAGGCATACCTTGAAGCAGCTCACCCCATTGAGTGAGAGAATATACAGCGAAGGCAGCTGGCGGGCCGGACGGCCGAGTGTCCGGACAAGCAGCGGAGTGGAGATGCCATACAGTGGCCAGCCGAGATCCACCGAGTGGGAAAAGGCCATACCCGAGTCCCCTTGCGACAGGGTATGCCGAAAGACAAGGATCCGGCCGCTGGAAAAATGCCCCCGCCCCGGTGTAAGCCCCAAGTGTCAGAGGCCGAGCCGCCGGCACGTGGGGAAGAAGGCGCCCCACCTCGCCAACCAGGCACGCACCAGTATGTCCCAACAAGGAGGACCCCCAGGAGAGGCGCCGAGCCGGGGGCCGGGAATTCACGCAGCAGGCCAAGGCAAAGCAGCGGACTGGCGGTCCGACCCTGAAGCCCGCCCTCATCGACCTCGACGGCCGGCAGATAAAGGTGACACAGAGGGACGGACGCGGCAATGGGAGGCTGTCGGGCGTGCAGGCTGCCCGAGTCGCCGCCCAGGGAAAATGCCCCGCTGGGCGATCGCTGGCCATCGCCCAGGCGGCCGTCATCCAGGACCACAGGGCAGGAGAGACCCGCTCGTTCCACATCGCTGGGTGGTTGTTGCACAGCAGGCAAAGAGGCCATGAATGTCAGCGGTCGCTCGAAGGCCGAGTCAGGCAGGGTGCTGGCCGCTGCCCAGCGGCCCCCCCCCCCCC